TCATTTTCAAGGAAGCCTTTAAGTATTACAAATGAAGAATTTACAAAGGCATGAATTATTGATGAAGGGGTAAGCTCACTGGATTTTGTACAACGTGTGTGCGTGTGTGTGTGTGTGTGTTACTATTTGAGCATACTTCCCTTGCTTCAGTCTACAGGTGCCTTCTCCTGGAATTTTTGCTGTGTTCATTTCAGGCTAAAAATATGAATCCATTTACAAGTTTAATCCAGTTTCCTGAAGCAGCCAAACACAAGCAGGCACGCTATACTTGTCTCTAAATGCAGAGGGCCTAGAAGGAAAGCGCACCTGGGAAACAGTAGCCCGGTTCACAAGTTAACAGCCAATATATGTACAATCTATGTACAATGTCCACTGGGATTTTCTTTATACACATACTGAGTCATTCTCATGTTAAATTCAACACATGCATTGCTGCTTTTAACACAGACACTCCATTTATCTAAATACCGCTCCCTGATTTCATTGGTAAACTAAATGTGTAGAACCAGCTTTGAGTCCAGTGGCACCTTTAAGACGAAAAAAGTTTAATTCTGGTTATAAGCATTGGTGAGCACATCTGAAGAAGTGTGCATGCACACAAAAGTTTATACCCAGAACTAAATATTGTTGGTCTTAAAGGTACCACTGGACTCAAACTTTGTTCTGTTGCTTCAGACCAACACAGCTACACACCTGAAAGTAAATGTGTGTTGGCTCTTACTTGCAAACAGATACAGACATGATGTATGCACATTCACAGTAACATGTGAACAGGGCTACTGGCATACATCTTGCCATCTCTCCTTATATATAATTCTGTTTTGGTCATGGACTCCCCTGAACATTCCAACACGCTCCCAAATCAGTTCGCTCGCTGATCTGTCACTCAGAGGGTCTCCCTATCCAGTGGCTGCGTTGCCTGAGTCCTGCCTCCAACATTCTAAACAGTTTGCTGTTCCTCTCCCCCCCATAGCCAGTCAGAACACAGAGGTCATTTGCATATGTGGCCTGATTGGCCTTTGCCTTGAAACACAGAGGTCATTTGCATATGCGGTCTCATTGGCCTTTGCCTCTAACATTCTAAACAGGTTGCTGTTCTGAGGTAAAATCTGTTCTGAGGTAAAATACATTTCCCCTTAGTACCTGTTGAGGGAAATCATTGTTGCCAATCTCCAGGTGAGGGCTGAAGATAACTCAGAATTACAACTGCTTTCTAGATGGCAGAGATCAGTTCGCCTGGAGAAAATGGTGGACTCTGTGTCCTTATATCCTGCTGAGATGGCCCCTGTATGACAGCCAATGTGACGTAGAAGTCAGGGCTTCAGAGCATGGTAGAG